AATCAGCCTTCATACACACTGAGTGTTTTGGTGAGGCTGGAAGAGCAAGGGCCAAGAGATTTATGAGCCTAAAAGCTTTGTTAATAGACCTGGGAGATTGACGGTCACAGCTGCTGTGCAGGGAGAATAGTGGCAACGGCAATCGAATGGCAAATTAGCCAAGGTTTGGGCTTTGCAGTGATGTTTCACGGGGAGAAAGAAGAAAAGGCTTCTTCCTTCACAGCTGAGGAACCTGTGACTATTTGGGTGAATGGCATTTGCACCAGGCCAGGGGCCCTCTCTGTGGTGCCTTCTCTGTGTGTCTCTTACCCACCTACCGTAAATACCGAGGCCAGGCACAGATGCCCACTCCCTTTGGTTTGAGGAGAGTTTATTAGAAAGGATTAGAGATGGAATTTGGGTCTGCACCACAAAGACCTCTAAGCTAAGGCCAGGCCCCAGCTTGCAATCCCAGACACGGGAGCGCAGATGCTTCAGCCAAAGGAGGGCGCGTCAGAGAGAAAGGAGTCTGCCTCGTGGATGAGCTGGTCTCTGCTCTGTGACACCTTTGTGAGATCTGTTGTCATCTGAGGCTGCTCCCACCTCTTCCACGGCCATGAGCCTTTGGGGTTTATAAAACGTGATAAGGAACAAGCCACCCGACTGCAAGTTGGGGAGGTTTCCTGCTTTTGTTTTTAACCCTCGTGCAACCAAGGCATCACATGAGGATGAGGTGGCGTGGCATCCTAAACCCACCACCAAGGTTGCCGTTTGGGGCAAGACGCATACCTCACTGTCTGCCAACATAGCATGACACAGTCACCATATAGCCATAGCCTATTCCTAGCCCAACTCTGTGACCATGTATGACAGGTGATAAAATAGGGAAGATGGTAGAGAGATGGGGTAGACTTTGCCTCCATAACCCAAGTCCTAGGACATCCTACCTCATCAGCTCCTTCCCAGCCCTTTGGCATCTGCCCTTTAGCACCAAAGGACCCAGGTATTACTGGACACCAAGGGCCCCACACCTACTCCTGACCCCAAATTACGTAGATCTTGCATATCGGCCATGGGGAAGATGGGTTATTCCAAGTCAGAAAGCACAAATAGATTGTCTGTAAACATCTCTGCCAGAGACATGGAGAAACCAATATGGAGGTCAGGCACCATGCTCTCCGCAGGGCTGTCCCACTGTGTAGCATTTCAGCAGCCTGGACTCTGCCCTGTTCCAGGGAGGATTGGCCACAGTCCTCAATTTCTTTGCAGCTGCCCCAAGGAAGGCAAGGTGAGCTACTTGCCCCAGGTGACTAGCAGGAGTCCCTGCCTCCTGGGCACATCCTTCTGCCCCCTTTGTCATGGAACCCATCGGGTTGATGGTTTAGCCAGTGAGTGAGTCAGAACTACATAAATACTTATAAAACAGATACCCATGAGGTCCACTCTTGGTAGATTCACAATGAAAGCCACGCAGTCCAGGACCTAAAAAGCAATGACAAAGTAAGTCAGGTTTTATTTTATTTTAGAGACAGAGTCTCACTCTGTCACCCCTAGTACAGTGTTGTGGCGTCATAGCTCACAGCAACCTCAAACTCCTGGGCTCAA